ATGTCAAATATTTCCTGTGTCATTCTATCTTTCAATTTCGGATGTTTTTAGGTGTTAAAGTTTGATGTTTATTTTCTTACTAGTTGCTTTAAGATAATCCGGGGACATTGCATAGTAAAAGAATAACCGCTCGTAACGTTTTTCAAGTGACTTCATCACAGTGAAAGCATCTTCTCTGGGAAACATCCCACAAGTGAATCGCAGGTCAACATGGAAAACACGTGACCTGTTTGTTGAGAGGAACGTACGGGAGCATTCGGACCCGGTGTTGTTTTCATTATAGTGTCAAGGCTTTTCATTATAGAGAAAGAGCGCGCGAAAGTGGGTCACGGCCGCTACCAAATGCTTTACAAAGTAGTTCTGAGTCGAAACAGATTAGTGGGCGAAAAAATGTAAAGATCATTCTCGAATTCTCGTCCGCGTATTTGAATCTCGTACACCCGCTATTGAAAAATATAGATGTAAAGGAAGCAAAGAAATATTATAAGATAGAGATATTATTTTCTTGTGCAAAAAAAAAATGCTAAATTGTTTGAGAAACGTCGGCGAAGAACATGCAATAAAAATTAAGGAAAGAGTATTAAAATCTGAAATTGTGTATGCGCTTGCGCAGTTTTCCAGAGGCCAAATAAATACTATCACTCAAATAATGTAATTTCACCCGTAATATATGTAAAACAAAGTATGGTCTTATACTTTATGAATAAACAACACTTTTAACACGGCATGTGTTATTTTGAAATGGGAAGTGTTTCAAGAAACACTATTGTATCTTTAATGCAGTGATTCAAACTAGGAAGGTAATAACTTTGTCGCTTAAAAAGTGGAAAATGCTAAATAATTGTCCACTCTCAAAGACGACCATTTTAGAATGGTATAATGAACTACTAGCTTCTCGCGCTTTCTTCCTATATTTGTTAATACTCACCTCTTACGTGCTTTAAAATGAAGAAGCAATGATGTTAACTAAAATCCAACACACGAGGTTGTGGGACTTGGTGGCAATAAATCTATTTTAAGAAGTTTTAATCGTATGAAAATCTTCGGACAAAGACATGAATTTTGAGATAATTAACCATTTTTCACTATTTTGTCTTAATTTTCTATAGAGGTAGAGGAATTTACTTGAATAACAGTTTGACAAACCTTGTTTAGACAAGACGTGTTAATATGTGATGGAAAAAGTGACACTGAAGTGGAGGTTCAATGTCGCCTCTAATATCATATGATGAATAAAAATGCAAATTGAAATGGGTTTGGCAGTTACCGAAATATCGAGAGCATTGGAAAAACCCTTACATCGTTACCACAATGTCAAGAATAATGGTAAAATGTACCTCAAGTGTACAAATACTTATTGCATTCAAGAGACGTAAAAAGACCCCGTTACTTTGACTCCTTACCTGGAAGATAACTTCTCCTTGTGAACTAGATGTATTTATTAGCTGAAGTCTTTAATTCTTAACCGCTATTAGCGTATGGTAAGACGGGATCAACCAAATATATCTGGGATTTCTTATTCTTTATTCTCAACTCGCATCTCGACGATGATTGCGGGAATACCTCAACAGATATCACAAACATCTTAATATTTAGTTCATTAGACATGTTTTAATTATGTACATATATTCTAAAATGTTGGCAGAACGTTCTCTGGTACCGTGATGCTTTTATTGAATTTTACCCTAGATTAACAGTTATTTTAGTAATCATGATATGTTTTTCAGAGGTTAAACTACTTGTGTAAGGAGGCAGAATCTGTTGAGTTACTGGGAGCTGCACGAGATCAAATCCATTTTGTTTTGCGAGCAGCGAAATACGTTGCTGGAACTGCTGAGGTACGATTATTCATTTACAACCATTTTTTTAATAAACAGCGTTTTAATTTTCATACAGATGTTATAGATTCTCCATTGATTGTCTCTGTTTCAGACAATGGGTGCTCTCCGCCTAGAAGCCCGTATGTCTGGATGGATGGAAGCATCTCTAACATACGCCGATAGTCTTAGGCAACAATTGGAGACGGTTCGTTCTGAACATGAAGAATTACGGTACGTATAAACGTATCTGATGATTTGTTAACCCTTCAACAAAATATTTATTAAAATATTTTTGTTCTCCTGTTACAGGCGTGTGCTTTCAGAGTCGGGTGCCTCGATTGATAGCAATTCATCTCAGGGATCTACCCGACGCCCTATATTATCCAGTAAACTGGTAAAAATCTAAAAGGGAACCTTGTGGGCTTTTGTGTTAATTCCTCGTTAGTCTGCACAACCTAAACAGAATTCCTATACATTTGCAGAATTAGATTAGACGTGTTTGTGCTTCTCCCTTTTGTGTGTGTTTGGCTTTTCGGTGCACATTTTAGTGCAATAGAACATGCATGAAGTTCTACAAACGCATGTTTCACAATAGATGACGCAAGGAGAAAGCACATTATACTCGTACATTGCATTCATGTTTGCGATCATTATTCTGCACATTTTTTCATTGCATGAATGTGCCAAAACAGTTGATATTCTAGTGTTGTGTGTTTACTAGGATTTCTGGCACAGGGTGAATGTAAAAGACTTTATCTATCAATCTATCAAACACTAAACATTCATTTTTTCATCGAAACAGAATTCAGTTTGACAAATATCTCTGCTTGATGCTTAGCAGTTGAGCAGTCCACGTAGAGCTTCAATTGCAGTCCCTTCACGTCCTGCCACAAGTGTTTCCCCTGGCACAGGTATCAAGGAGCAAGGTCGACTATCTCTTGCTTTTATTCCCGTGAGTGCACCTTGCATCTACTCCCAGCGCTAAGTAGAAATCTCTTTATTTTTAAAGCCGGGGAGAATTCTACAGCAATGATTAATGCATTACAGGGATCCAACTCCCAGTCACCAGTTGTCTTGCGCTCGGCGCGTCGACCACTGTCGTCGACATCAAGTGATACCTCTGTTGGCGTGAGCAGTGTTGATGGTAGTGCACCCAGTCCTCCCATTGTCCCAGAGTGAGTATTTACCTCATACATGAAAAGCATGCATGGAAATCATACAGGTGGAAAGTCAGAGAATTCTACTTTTTTAAGTGGAAAAGTTGGACAATATCAGTCTACGAATTGATTGCTCGCTTTAATATTTTTCTACGGAGAATTATTTCTTTACATTTTCTTCTCATATTATCAATGGACGTATAAAAGGTAATGCTGTTCCCATTTTGACAAACTCTCTGTATTTTCCTAACTTGCAAAGTATCACTTAATAATATTAAAGTAGACTTTGTATTGAATGAAAATTGTTGCAAACAATCAGATCTATAAAAAAGATAATGTATTACGAGTTCTTGAAATACAAACAAACATTTTCACTTAATTTATGCTTCAAAATATTGCAAATTGTTAAAAAATTTAAAAATCCCCCAAACCGCTCCAATTTTTGTCTTAATTTTTTTGCGGATAGAACAAGGATCGCATGAAAGAATGGCGCAGGTGTCATTTTTGTTAGTCTCTGAATTTTTGAAACATGCAAAAGTTAGAAATAATGCGAGAAAGTATTGCGGTTTCAGCACCATTACTCAGTTTAGAACAGATTTCAATTCAGATAAAAATATCAGATTTGACCTAATTTAGAACAGATTGAGAAGAATATCTATCTTTAATTTATCTTTAAAGGAAAATTTTTGGAAAATATTAAAAATGTTGTTAAGGCTTCATTTATAGTCAAGGACGTCCAGAAGGGAGGACAGTTGTTTTTCATTCAAAATATATATAAATTCGGATTATGAATTTAGAGAGGAGGGCATTTTTGTTTGAAATAAGGGACCCGTTTAGATCAACTACCTCAGGCCTATGGTTTTCCCTAAGCGCCCCTGCGTATAGAACCCCCAAAAATCAAACTGTTTGTTTTAAACTCGCAGAGCCTCGACTTTGTTTAGTTCGAAAGGAGAATATCAATTTTGATCGAAACGAGAATATCAATTTTGGAGAAAATAGTTTGAACGGTTTAGGCGACGGCATTGACGACGGCATTGACGGCGACGATTTTTCGGTATAAAGGACCCGCAAGACAAGGATTCTGATTACATATAAGAGAGAAAGTAGTTTACTACATAAAGAAGCAAGATTTATCCACCTTTTCGCGACCAGAGCCCGGCAATAAGTTTTCCTGTCGAAAAATCGTTGATTTCCGTCGCATGATTACCATGCTCTCTCTCATGCAGGCACACACACACACATACACATACGCGCGCGCAACCCCACCCCCACTCGAACAAACTAACAAACACACTTATGTACATACAAACACACTTATATACATACAAACACTTTTATATACATACATATATACAGATTGTTTCTGCTGCACAACTGTTTCTATACAATTAGAGACTATACTGATTATCAAAAAGAAAAATAATGTTTATTTTAACAAAACAGTTTAACAATTTATCAAAACATTTTAACAAAAACTAATGAATTAGTTTACATTTGTATTGTATATATTTTTTTAAAAGACTTAATATGTTTGTAACAAATAATGTACTTCAGCTTCCGGGTCAATGACCCCCATCTCGATCAGGTTTTGGTCCAGTTTCCTTGATCCATTAAGCAAATGCTGAGATGGCCCCTTGTTTTGCTTCTGGCCGTAAATGAAACGCACGTTTTGTTGAACTCTCCTTTTGCTTTTAATGGTAAGAGTAGAGGTAAGGGCGAGTCGCTATTTTGTTAGCAATGCAGGAAAATCATGCACTTGCAATCATGAACTTGCAATTCGTGTACCGATTAAAATAAGTTTCCTATAACTCGAAAACGAAAATTACTATTTTTAAAATATTGCTAATCTTATTTTTAAAATTTATTTTTATAATATGTTAAACTTTTACTCAAATTTCAACTGTTTATAGTAAAAATGACGGGAAGGGATTCTGAATCTCAAGAAAACGTACGCAGATAATCTTCTCTCCCCCACGTCACATACATTTTTTACTGTTTTTTGGCTGAAAAAATCTAAATCACACACACACACACACACACGTAGCTTCAGGTAAGAAATTTTCTCAGAAGAACTTCTGAAATGCAGGTACCAGATTAATGTTGAATAATATATTCTGATTGGGATATCTCGTTTCCAACTGAAGTATTGAACTGTTTAAGGAAAGTTTTAAAGATATTTGTACAGAATGAGGAAATTTTATTGCAATTGCATTACAGGCAACCAATATGTAAAAATTACCCATTATAATTATAAATCAGTCTTCAAGGTGTGACACCACCTTAGTGAGTTTTATCTGTGTTCGAAGAAAAATACACAAGTCCGTTTTTGTTTTTCCTAGCACCAAGAATACGGTCGCGCGCTTGTCCGTTCACGCGGATTCATAGGTTTGATTCACGGTTGAACGCTCTATTTTTGTTTCACAAAAATGAATCGGAAATATTATACGTTGCAGGCTCGTATTATTTTATGTAAGCCACGGAGGTCGAAGGCCGATGCCTCGCCGTCTACTTGGAAATACATCAGCGAAGTTAGTAAACTTGACGCTAAAATTAGTTTGTGCGAGCAAATTATTGTCGGTCGGATGTTCCTCGAATACTTAATTTAGTAAACTTTATACCCTAAATATTTTTTCAGGAATGGAATTGTAAATAATAATCAGTTTGTTTGTGTTCTTTCGTGCGTAAATATGTGCGAAATATTCGCAAGAGATCAGCTATTCTCTGGTTAAAATCTACATTTTACCCAACATCTGTGCCGTGAAGGAAAATGCATCATTTCAATTTCAGTTTTAAAATATTTGCTTGTCTAATATTGAAATTTTTTCAGCTACTGTCGATTAAATTAGTACCATTTGATTAATGTGTTTCAAATATTCACAAAATTCTTCATAAAGCAATATTGTAATTCAATAAAAACTGTTTGAATAAAATGCAAGTCTGAATTATTAAATAATTAAGCATTATAAAATCAGTTAAAGAAAAATCAATTAATTAAATCCATTCTTTGTGTCAACTGAATAGTTTAATAGGTTACAGTACCTATTTTTGTAACTGTTATATCTATGTTGCTTAGGGACTTCCAGCCATTAATGGAAGATACAGTCCAAACTCCATTGGAAGAAGATGCTGTAGATCATGGGAGTAGTGATGAACCTATACCACACCGCAACTCACATCCCCGTCTTTCCAACGTTGATCTTCCTGAGACAGAGGATGCTCTATCGGCACCTCATCTTCGCAGACGAGAGAGTGCTGCACCTCCTTCTGTCACTACAATGTGTCCGCCAAGCATCACTCCTGTGCAGACAGCCAGGTACGTTTCTAAGCATTATAATACATGAAAATATTATTTAAGAACTTGTTAATGTAATAATATTTCCCAAACAGTGGTCCATGAACTTGTATGAAAAAAATATTTGAATAAAACCAAGAAAAAAAAAATACTTAAATTAGAAGCAAATAATAGTGTCTTCACAACATTACATATACAGGTTTGTAATATCCTTAGAAGAATGAACTACCTATCCAGTACATCTTTATTATGTATATTAATTTTTTATCACTTATTTGTTTAATTATTATTTATGCTGGCATCAGCATGGCAGGTTTACCTAACTCTACCTTGCACTTTGTGGGCATGCCTAATGTGCTTTAGAATTCAATGTAAAGAATAAAATTTCATTCCATTTATTAAGTCAAGGACAGAGACACAGTTATGAGTAGGGGTTAAAGTATGTATATATTTTTAAATATGAATTTCAATGAAGGAAAATATAATGATTAGTTTTCATATGTTTATATTATTAAAATTTAAATTAATTATGTAATTCCTCTGAACCTGCCTCTTGGATAACAATACTGTGAAGAGATCTATTCTTACTTTAAGATTCTGTTTCCCTTTGGAAACACATTTTTTGGTATTTTCTTCTAAGGAACTTAAACAGACAACTACAAAGCATCTATTCAAATTCACCGAACCTTAGAATTGTTGTACTGTATTCTAGTTTAAAGAAGTAAATTTGTTCACACTCAACCTGATTTAAAATTTTGACCTGGATTTAAACTCATTGAGCTATTATTTATACTTTAATATTTTGAGTCTATTTAACATCATAATTATAATCATCCCAAAAAACATGCAAATTGAGAAAACATAAAAATGATGATTCACATTGATGTGATTTTTGGAACCAAATGTGCAACTATCAGAATAACACTGGCACATTGAAATCCTTTATGATGCAATGATTACCTTCAAACTCCTACATTTATGTGTTTGAGTCTGTGAGGGACTAGATGTGTTTTACGTTCTCTTGATTAACTTCTTGTTTGAGGAACTGCTTATTCATCGAAATTCTGTTATGTACTTTAGTCTTTATTTGATTTTACATTACATGAATTACACAGTAATAAAATGTAGTTGATCTGAAATCACCCACTGAAAACATTAGCAGTGCAAAAAACAATGTAAAACATTTAGAACACAGTATGCATATCAATGATTATTAATATATTGATTTTTCTCTTGTTTGTAGGTCTTTGTATCGCACTACTGCAGCTGAATTATTCGACTACATATGGCCTCCTGATTTCTTTGTACTGGCACAGCATGCTAGGTGGTTACTAGTGCGAATTTTAATTCTTGCTGCTGTGTGGTGTGTAGTTCAAGCCTTTATTGCCCCTGCCGATGCCCAAATGCAGTATTCTTCCTCTCTTTCCTTACAAGAAGTACATGAAGCAGATTTTCTTCAACTGTGATTTGTGAAATTCTTCACATTATGGTGAGGTAAGGAACATTTTTTTTATTTTAAATTGTCAAATAATTATTACTACAATGTTACATTTATTCATTGTGAATACAATGGTAATATTATTAATAATAATAATAACAACAATAATAATAATAATAATAACAACAATAATAACAACAATAATAACAACAATAATAACAACAATAATAACAACAATAATAACAACAATAATAATAACAATAATAAAAATAATGATTTTAACAAGTATTACAATAGCTGTAACCAAGACAAAATAATATTTTTACATATATTACTTGGTACACAGATTAGCAAAAAGAGCCATTCACAAAAAAAGCTAACACAGCCATTATGAAATAAATCTTAATTATAGGAAAAATAATCCAAGGTCTTGTGATAGTTTGTTGGAAAAATTATTTAAATCTAAATTCATTTTGGTTCATTCAAGGAATTATCAAATTTTATTTCACATTGAATTCCAATCAGTCTGTTTCCAAACATCAAGTTGATCTTGTGTCTAACTGATTTAAAATATGCAGTTAATTAATCATAATGCAATGTATTTCTTTTTTTCATTTTGTCTTCTTTATGGAGGATGTAAGGCTCTTACATAATACATAATATTGTTGTGAGGCAGTTTAATTATGTACTTAATATCAAAGACAAAAACAGACAAAAAAGTCATAAATAGGTAACAAAGACATAAATAGGTTGCCTGATCAGTAACAAGACAGAGTAATTATGGATGACATTTTATTGCCGATGTTGTACAAATTTAATTATCTTGTTTTGAATTATTGTTAAAGAAATAAATTTAATATCTCTTTTACTCTGGCCTACATTACCAGACTTCTAATTGTTTCTCTTTTTAGGGAATGTTTTAAAAGACTTATTTTGATCAAAACTTATTTATTTATGAAAGGTTTGAAAAGCATTGTTTATCATATAGAAACAAATAAAAAATGGAACTTGAAATCATTCAGTCATTTGTCATAAATACATGTTCCAAAAATGAACACAACACAGAAAAAAACACATTAATCTTGAAGTAGAAAACATGTGGGTGTGGCACATTGCATTGTTTGATATCTTATGAATTAAGATGCATTTTATCTAATGGATATTAGTACACATGGACTGTGAAACATAATCCAAATAAGAGATCAGTGTTAAAAGTATGATTAGATAATATTAATGCACTGTCCAATGTCTGAAATATCATTTATAGCTATGTTAATGGAACATAGGCTTCTCTGTATTTATTATGACATTCTGTAGTTATCTACTCATCACAACATTTATCTTAACCAAAATGACTTTTGTATTTTCCCCTCATTCCGATTTTTACGAGCTATGAATATAAAATGTGTACCTTGAACAAGTAATAGAATTATATATATACTAAATATATTGCCAAACTAATTTGCTATTTCCAATTTATTTTCAGTTTATTGCAAAGTTGCCATTTAATTTGAGTTTGCGGGATGTCAAACTTGTTGACTTGAAGAAAAAATCATAAAGAAGATCCAAATAAATTCAAAAAGTCTAAACAGAAATGGTATTTTTTCAGGAATGAAATCTGCTACAGGATGTTACATCCAGTTTAATAGTTAATATCATGTTGTTTCATTTAATATAGTTTATAATGACTCTAGTATATTTTAGTTTAATAACTGATATTTTTGACATAGAATTCAAAAAAAATTTCTTGCTCTCTATAATTTTCATTTGTTGCCTTTAATGTATTCATTGAGCAAGTTTTAAGAATTTCATTGCTTAATTTTTTGATATTGTTGAAGTATTCTGCAGGGTACCATTTAATTTGTATCTTTACTTGCCCTTATTTGCAGTATCAAATTGTGAATAATCTTGACATTTCAAAAATGGTAAAATGGTTGTAGAACATCTTTGGAGGCAAATTTTTATTTTAAGGATGTTTAAAATTTAAATAACATATTTTTTATAGAGCATTAGGCTTACTTTAAAGTTGTTACAATAGAAGAGCAATATACATAACATTTTGTTATTTTTAAATTTCATTTGAAAGAAACAAATTTTCTTGCTGAAGCAAAAAAAGGGAAAAATTAAGGTTTCCTTTACATTTATTTGTAACCAAAAAATCTGTAATTACTTTCTGTAGCAAGGTGTTACTTACACATTGCAGAATTGCAAATTAAAGAATATCATTTTAAGCAATTAAGGCAAAATTTCATGATTATTTTATGTAACTACAGCATAAAACCTTAGGAACAAGAAGACATTTTGATGTATAATGAAATTCAATTTTGGATTTAAGTTTCTACCTACTTATTTTATTTTTGGAAATCATCATCTTAATTTAAGAGCTTATCATTGATTTATTCAAAACCAACACTTTCCTTACTTTTAATGTGAGATCTCTTTTTCAGTAAGCTTTTGAGGAACTTTCATCACAAATTGAATGAATCTCAAAATTCTCTCTGAAACAAAACTTTCATATTGTTGAAATATTATAAAGGAATACTTCTATAAATTACTAAAGTGGTTTTAGGGCATCGGGCAAGAATTTATTCATTACAATAATCTATGTGCTGCAGCTTGCGTCTCCATCCACTTCTCTCTTCCCCAGCCTCCTGCTTTACCCCTCCCCTCTCTTTCTTCTACCTCTCCTCACACTCTGCCACCCAAATGTTTTTGTCCTTAGTAGCACTGCTCTGCCTCTTCCATCTCTCCTCTGCCGCCCCTCCATCCCCCCGTGCTTCGCCCCTCCTTCCTTCCCCTCCCTCTCCCACCTCTCCTTTCCTCCTCCCTTCCCTCCTCCTCACCACTCCCTTCCCCTCACTCATACACCATTCCTTTCCTTTCCTTCTCTTCCTCCTCTCTTCTCTCCATCACTCCTACCTTCTCTTCCTCTCGCTCCTGACCCTCCTCAGCTCCTCATCTCCTTTCTTTCCTTCCCTCATTTCCCCTGCCTCTCTATCCCTTCATGACACACCTCACCTCTCTCTTCTCTTCCCCGCCCTCTTCCTAGTCTCCCCCTCCCTTTCCTTCCTGATCCCATCTCTCCCCCTATCCTCTCCCTCGCCCCTTCCTTCCTTTCTCTCTGCCCCCGCTATATTGTTCCCTCTTCTCGCATCTCCGCCTTTAATTCCTTTCCCCCACCTCTCCATCCCTTCCTTTCTCTCCCTCGCATCTCTCTCCCTTTTCTCTACCGCCTCTTCATTCCTTTCCTTCCTTCCCCCACCCTTCCTTTCATCTCCGTCGCCCCTGCCTCCCTTCCCTCCTCTTACCCTTCCTTCCTTCCTCTCTTCCACCATTCTGTCCCCCTTCCCTCAGCTCCTCTGTCTCGCCTTCCCTTCCCTCCTCTTCCGTCCTCACCTCAACTCTCCCCCAGGCCGCGTCATATTTTTGCGGATCTCATACTCATTTTCGGCACTCCTGTAGTACTTCTACACCAAGTTGTTTTTCAGATGGCATATAATTCCAAGTTAGGTTAAAAATGACCCAGATATTTACACGCACCTCCATTTCTATACACTAAGACTAGCTAATTGCCCGGGTATTTATTTCTAGCAATACCTCAAACATTCCCGCCCGATGCTTGCCCCTCTCCTACCGACCCGCCAAGCCCACCCCGCCTCCGCCGGCAGCGCCAAGGAACGACGCCGCCGCCGCCTGTATGCATTGCGGACTGCACCGTTGCCAGTAGCAAAAATGGAACCTTGAACCCAAATTCAAGGTCGCATTTTGGGATCTCCTGTTTTGCGTCTTGCGCTTGTGGAATGCGAAATTGCCGTGAACATGTTCTACAGGATTGTATTATCGTAATCAACAGTTTAGAATTTGTCCATTCGTGACAGCTTCATTTACTTCGGCTGCTTCGGACGATACCAATACCGCCGTTTAATTGAATCGTATGGATCTGTATTACAGACGTCGAGGTTCTCATCAGACACTAGGAAATTAGAAGCATGATGATTGTCTTTTCGAGTCGCGTCTTTCACCTACGGTACGGTACCGAACGTCAAGGATCACTTTTATGTCACACAAGAGGCAAGACATCCACGGCGTAGCCTCCAAGATTGCTCAGACATTAGTAACATTAGTGGTTAAATTGAATTTCTCGTCCTATTTGGTTCAGATCCTAGTTTTCACTTTCACGTATTTTCCATGTATTTACGTAGTAGCAGGAAAGTATTGTATTGCCGCAGCAGAAATCGGCAATTTTGCGACAGAGAAACTTATGTGACGCTCTGGCATGAAAATGTGTATAAATCTTGTTCCTGTAAGTAGTAACTCTAGCACACTGTGTATTCAGAATCCACATTTTGTGGATTTTGGACGAAACAATAGACCGCGAAACGTCTGTCTGTGGTCAACAGTGATGTCTAAACCGTTCAGACGGTGTTCTGCAGAACTGATGTTTGGATGAACTCCAGACTCTGTGTGTTTGAAATGGATATAAGTTCATTTTTTTCAGCGTCTTCTTTCAATTACAATATTGAAGGCAGATATTTTTACTTCACGAAAGAGTTCGTTCAAAGATTATCTTGAAACATGCACAATATTTCAAAAATCAGTAGTTTCCGCGTATTTTTGCGTGAAATAAAGGCAATTTTTAAACAATTATTTTCTCTAAAACGACTCTAATTTTTTCCTCTTATATAACGGAGGATTAAAAAATTGGTGTTATTTCAGTTTGCGGCGAACATCCTGGTGAAGCCCAGGTATGTTACAATCATGACTGTACTGTTCAGATTTTGTCCGATAAATCAATCAAAATGATAAGAAAATTACGGGTATGTTCTCATTATCAGCGTCATTCATCAGACAAATTAAAGCATCTTTGATTTTTAAAATGGGGCGTACTTGAATCATGTGTGGAAGCAAAAGTCTTGCGAAATACACTTCACTTGCGACCGTTTGGTCGCTGATATTTTAACATCCTTGTGCGTCAATACGCGCGGAGTCCCTGTTCTCTCTGCCTTGAACGACTTTGATCGATCTACGAAGAAGTCAGCAAAAAGACCGCAGGAGCACAAATATCTGCTCTATTTGATGTCATTCAAACTTCTCTTTGCGGTTTACAGGCTGTCTCATTTAAATTTGTGTTTCACGCAGTCGATTGTCGTTTAGAGGTCGCGACATGCGCTAGACATTATAATGATAGACATTTTCATCCCGTGAACGATAGAAGCCGTAAAAATGTTTACAGAAATGCAGTCGCTTCGCGAACTTCCGAACCTACTATAACGCCAGATGTTAAAATTATTATTGTTTAAAATTATTCATCAAAATAAAACATATATTGGTGAATTTGTCTTCGTAAAAAAGTCTAGTGTTCCATAAAGTCTAGTGTTCCAAATCTATTCTCGTAAAACAGTATAGTGTTCCATTTAAAAATAAAGCTAGTGCAATCTTTGAATTAAACTATGCTAACAAAAGATAATAAGTATAACCGATGAGTCCCTAAGTCTGAATCGTTTTCTGAAAATTTCATCATTTCTCGAAGCGTTCTGAAAATATTCGAGATGTTCGATTTTATTGAATAACGCTGTATACTAGATAAATAACACGTTTAAAATGTATATCTCTGAAAACAATTGTACTTCATTTGCTACAAGAGCTTGGGTGGGATTCCAGAGCTCGAGAAAACGTGTACAGATTATTCTTCCCCATTGTAGGTCAAATGCAGTTTTTAACTGTCTTGACTTTAAACATAAATAATAAAATTTACTCATGGTTCTATACCAATTACCAGTAGTCACAGTTACTCTTCGGATAGTTGTTGAGAAATAATTTTCCGGACGCCGCTATTCGGGATTTCAGTGTGGGCCATTAAAAACAATTTTAACGCGCAATGAATTACTTTTAAAAGTATCTTCAGTTATTTGTTTAAAACATTTATTTCGAATTATTAGTACAATAGACTCGTTTACTACGTAATCCTATTCGTTTCAGACTATAAAAATGTCCAAAAGAACTTTAATAGATGCAAAATACCGAATCTTAGGACCCAGGACAAACATTAGTCAAACGCATTCTATACCACTCTTGGCCCAAGTACCTTGTTAACGATAAGCTGAAGAGATATTAACCTACTTTAATCAATTATGCTGATCAAAACTGTACATTCTGCGTTATGCCTCATTATTAAGCATAATCTCTTGCGGATTTTGAGAGTTAAAGAAAATGTGCAACCTTAGAAAAACGTTTTCAAACTAATACCAATAATAGTGAGCTTGAATATAAATAAGTGAACTCAGTAATGTACAAATCATGGCTGACTGTTAAGTCAGCACAAAGTGTTGTTTCCTATTTTTATTACTTTTCGCTGGCTGTATTTTGTAATGTCCATTGTATTAAAATATTGTTGAATAAATGAATATTTGTTTAATAACTTAAAGCGGAGTACCATTTATCATTTTAAAAGCCATTATTGATACTCAGAATAGATAAAACGATGAGTGGCAACAATGTATAACTAATCTTGCTTCACGTCATCGCAGGAGCCATATACTGGAAAATTCCAGTTTTGTGATTTAATCACAAAACTGGAATTTTCACGTTTACATTTATACTATTAGGATTTCATAAACATTTCTCAAGTCGGGTACAATGTCGATAATGACTTTCGTGAAAATTTACGTATGTGAGCGGTTTTTCGATAATATAATCCACAATTATTTACATAATTCAGTGCGTTTATTATAATGGGTCAGCCAGGGCAATAAAGATGATGTGGAATTGCCAGAATTGCTTCTGAATGTGATTTTGCTGTTATGATGTGACTAAACACCACGGAAATGATCAGTTTGCATCATCAACGGTAAGAAAGCTGTCAATTAAGATTTCTAAATCTGTAGAAAGATACTTGTAGTTTATTAAATTGTTTACTGTAATCATTGAATTGGCGCCTGTCTTTGCAGTATTTCAAAATGTGATAAAACTATGAAAAGAAACATTCATTTAACGTTTTGCAGAAGTGCTCTGTACCTAATTGAGGAGGGATGTGGGTATACAGTGAAGAGTGAAGACGTGTCTTGTTAGGTTTGGTTCGTGTTTTACCTGTACTAGTGTGTTCGTTATAAGCAGTAATTTGGGGTAACTTTCAAATCAGTTTAGTGTACAGTCACGTAGTTTTCTCAAGAGTAAAAAGCTTTTTTAAATATTTTGTGACTATAACGAAAAGCGAAAAGCTAACTGTCAAAAGAATATTGAATAATTAGGTCAAATATTTTTAAGGGAGTGTTGTGAGTTGTTTTAAGAAATCTCTCGATAATACTGAATAAATCTTTAGTGAAAATTTCATTTCCCAGTCAATTGCAATGTTTTTAATTTTATCTGATATTGTGTTAGTACAATTGAAGTTACTATTATAATCTCTTAATGTTTATAATACTGAATAAACCTGTTAAAAATAAGTTTCGTCAATTTAATTCTTAGTATTTTTTGATACTGTGTAAGTACGAAGTTACATTTAAACATTTTTAACAAATAAACACGTTTAATTAACAACTTTTCTTCTTAATGGAAACGATAGGGTAATGGATGAGGGAATGGTGGGGATTTACGCGCGAGAGTTCTCGCACGGGTACGCTAGTATTCACTTATATCGAGAAGTATACACCAAGCATGTTTCAACTATTCTCCTTGTTGAAAACAGTGTCGCCACTTATGGGAGAAAAATGTGAATACTAATTGAAGGCTTAGAACAAAATTTCACATTAAATCTAACAAATTTTTACAAAGAGGATAAAACATTGTACGATATTCGTGTCGTAACATCTTATTACAATACTCAGTTGGTTATCAAACTCGGCCTAATGGCCTCGTTTGGAAATTTTCCAATCTCGTATTGTAATCAGATATTTTACGGCACCAGTATCTAATGTATAACTAATATTGGTCCAAACCGTGTTCAAGAGTTTTTGTATTTTCTGCAGGTCTGAAGCTGTTAGTGAAAATGAAATTCTTGTTACACGATTAACTACTTATTGTATGAAAGTAGGTGTTGTTCACACGCGTCGCTTGTTTAGGACATATCTTAGCCGGAGCTTACAGGGGAGGTATTACGTTGTGATATTGTTTCAAACGATCGAGCTTGAAAGTTGAGCAGGAATACATGGATTTAAAAAAAAATTATAAAAATAAAGAATTACCTTACTTGCAATCTACCCTCTTCCCGCGAAATTAGGAATTCCAAAAGGCGCAGTAAGAAAAAGAATTTCCACCGCTACACACTTTATTGCTACGATCCCTAGGGTTTCCCCTTGTTTCTTATCCTCGGTCCGTTTGTGAACGTAATGCAGTTACCTACCTACTCGATATCGTCTGCTCTATCCTCCAGCCGCCTTGCGCGGCGCGCGCGTCGAAATCCACAAGAGCCTCGGGGCGATAAGACCCCCGCGCGCCCGCCGAATGGATCCCTCGCGAGCGGCCCTCGACGCCTCGCGGATTTCCCTGCGCATCGAGATAGCTCGCGAGGAGATAGCGCAGGTGATGACTATCTCCGCGAGAATGATCGCGGCCGTCCACCGCAGCTCATCATTCGGGCAGGCAGTAGCGCAGCATCGGCTTCGCCATGGCAGCAGCGGGGAAGAAAACATCGGACTCGCAACTGGAGCCCGCTGACTACCCCCAGGACACCACAGGTAAGTTCGGGGCCAAGACGTCGTTTCGGGGGCACGTTTCATGGTGACCCAGTGCGTAGATCGCGAGACAAGTGTTACATTTGGTATTCAAACGAAATGAAATAAAGTAACTACCACCTCACCCTATATCGTGTGTTATCTTATTTATTTTACAGTAATGATTTCTTGACCTTAATAAAAATACTCCTTCTTTATGTAACAATTAAATAAATCGTTACAAATACTGAGTATTTTTATTACGGTCAATAAACCATTACAAAGAAATGAAGTATCATTTCGCAGGCGAAGGAATAAAATAATAACATTTCTTTGCCACGAAACATTTCTATGTAATAGACGAAAACAGAAACACTAATAATGTTTTTATGCTAAAGAAAAAGCAGTAGCCCACTATTATGCAAAGAATTTTAAAAAATCGTCTTGTGCAAGAAAATAAGGCATTTTTGTCAGAAAAAGGGAAGAATGGACAAACCTTTTATAACCAAGCACTTACGAAAAAAATAAATTCATGATAAATTGTAAAATATTTTTGGAAGTTACAGCGTTTGTTTTTATCGTAAGCAAATCTTCTAATATGAGCTTAATCTTCAAAAAAGAAACAAATTGTTTCGTGTAATACTGTCCGTACTCAGATGTGCCGATATCTTCACTAAATAAACTGCTTGCTTGCCTCAAATACGCGCCACATGTGGCCTTGGCATTGCAGAATATAAAACTATTTACAGGTTTATATATTCTGCTAATACTACTCTATGAGAATGGTGAACGGTTTTCTCTGCTGAAGCTCTCGTTTTATACTGAGTGATTCAGGTTTGTTGGATATTCGAGATGAATAGGTATTGCAAAAACAAAATAAATTGTTCTTTGGCGGAATTCAACAGGATTAGTTTATTAGAAGTTGGTTGTCTTCTAAAACATTGACACATTAGTGATCGTTAGAATCGTTACCAATCTGAGAATGTGTTGCCAATATTGTGGTCTATTCAGATGTCCGGGGAGGAAAAGCCGAAACTTCGCATATAAGATCTTAAGACAATTTTAAGCATATTTTGTCTAATAAACCACGTGGATGTTCAGAATGCTTGGGTCGCAATAAGCACTCAAAAGTTGCTGTGAGAAATTGCTTTCTAGGCATAAATTTGCGTTGCAGAAGCATATAAACCCTCCAGAAACATGTAATTTTTTTTACTATTTACAAAAGAAATAAATATATTTGTTCAGAAAGAAAAATTAAGTGAGAAATAAAAAAAGCCGTCAAATTGTGTAAATTGGGTACTTTTTACTTTCCCGTATACTAACGTATATAAGGATATAGGTAGTATAAGGATTCTCTATACGTAGTGTAGGGATAGTTACGTAATGTTGCGAAATTTCGATGTCGAGATTTAACGGTTTTGGGGTCCCCAGATAGTAGTAGTTTTTTTGACGTCTCGCATGTTGTTAATATTTATATTTGTGAAAAGTTGTTCATATTATTGTATTTATGAGTACATGAGCTTTAAATAATAACGTATAAAGTTATCTTTAAAAACTCAAGTATTTTCTGTGAAAATTAGCTCAAAATTCCGCATTTTGAGAAACTGTAGCACCACTAGTTTAATCAACGAAATTTAGTGAAGCTTGCTTCAATATCTAGCATTTCGGCCATTTGGAAGAAGACATGGTTCATTAGAAAATTTTCCCTTGATCATACGTATTGACTTAAGAAAAAGTGTATGCTTCATCGGAAATTTGAAATATAATGAAGGTAATTAGTATTTATTTTCGTTACAGTGGCATCTATGATTAATCGAAAGAAATATTTGAAGCAAATGTTAACAAATGTTGCACAATCTGAGTTTGAAATTTTCCCCCTCCGAAAATTTAAAGTTAACCTCCTCCCACGTAATGTCTGGTAGGCGGAATGTGTTAGAGATGGTTCCCTTTAAAATATTGATATTTTATTTATTGATATATTATCCCCTGTGCCCCGTATTATTTGGGATATATCGGTGACTCAATTTAAATGATCCACTTGGCGTGCTTGAATAATTTTCATTAATTCTATTTCAAGGTAGTAATGTGTTGAATACGCATGAAGAAATTATCTTTGAGTTAAAAACAATTCGAAATACACACGAAATCAGGCTTATCGAAATGAAAGAAATACCTGAGCAATTAAGCACTTGAATTCTTTCAAGTGGAACGAAATAAATCTCTGCTCTGCCTGTGAGTGTTCGGTACTTTATCAAGATTAGAAGACCATCGTACGCTGATGAGCGTCATTACATAGTTAAAGCAACATAAATTAAAAAGTAGGGAATTTGTGAATCTGTGCTCAAAAATTCATAATTCATATTTATAATTGATTCTCCCAAAGTATTAAACCATCGCATTAGAGTTTAATGTATGAATTCATCGCATTATATTTTAATGTATTAAATCATTTAATTAGATTTTAATCAACTATTAAGATTTTTTAGCATAACAACAATACACCCGGCGACCGGATGATCTTCACAGATGAAATTATATTGGACTTTTGGAGATAATACATTTTACATGATAGGTTTTACTTTTCCTCTACTACACTCTATGTAGTATAGTGAAGAAACGTATGAGTATAGCGTGAAAACGAGATATGTGAGAGAGTGATAATGTAGAGGCAATGATAGGCTCGTATTGAGACCTCTTTCAATACGTAGCTTACAGAATACTCGAAACTACTATTGTTTCAATTACATTTGCAGAAGATATGAAATTTGTAATTTATTATTGGATGATTTGTAGCTTTATGTCAGAAAACAATCAATTGTTAACTTTATTTATATTTGTTGTAATGAAAGGAATTTTGATTCCCATTATAGCAATCAGTCCCAGGAGCATATTCGGTTCTTGACCCTCATTGGAACCTTTGATCATTGACTTCCTCTAAAATATTATCGACCCCCAAAGAGTCGATACCAACCTCATTGAGGAACCAGTGATTTTAGCTCTTCTGGATAAAAAGTTTTGCTTTACTTATATTATGATTTAGATGCTTAATGTAATTTTAAAAGTACGATTTCTTGATAAAAAATCTTATTATTTTGAATGTAATTGCTGAAAATTCGGAGATCTCATTGATTAATTACTGCCAGAAAATATGGAACTTTTACTTAATGTCACAAGATCATAATTTAGAATCACTTTTTAGAATTTGACATTTGTTTTATACGTAAGTAATTCAATAACGTCCTTAATTTTGTTCTATCACATCACAATTTTTAATAATTTCAGTAATTGTGATCCAAACGATATTGAAAATATTCATATTATCTTCAATGAGTTAGAAAAACATAAATTACTCATGATAGTTGATTATGTCAATTCATTTTGCATGATTTTGTAATAGATCACATTCAGATGGCAGCAGGTTACAGTACTATATTCATAGACCTATGAATACAAGTACACATAGCTCCATGCTTTTAATAGTGGACACTGTGCGAAAGGTAAATCAACCAGTGTTGGCTAAGATATTCGAATGCATCTCAAGCAGAGTGTTTCGAAGAACTAGTTTGTTTGTTATTTTATATATATTTGTGGTGCTATAACCACGCAAAGAAAGTTTGTGAATGATCCAAATACAGTTTTTTATATTTGTGGACGTTTTATGATTGCCAAACAAAGACAGAATATAACCTCATTTGTTGGAAGTGTTTATAAGGCTTATTTTGGAATGAAACTGGGGTATCAGGATAAAACGTGGGCCCCTCATAGTGTGCAGTTTGTGTTGCAGAGTTAAGAAACAAGTCGAAAGGGAAGAGAAAGGTGCCAAGTTTTGGAGTTGCTATGGTGTGACGCGAGCCAAAGAACTATGTAAACAAGTGTTATTTTTGTATTTACAAATGAAAGGATTCAATACAAATAACAGACACGGATTAGTTTATCCTGATTTGGAGTCTGCTACAAGGCCTGTACCACGTCGCACCGACGTTCCTGTAGTAGAACCGCCTTCGAACCCCGAAGTATTGCATTGTGATTCAAGTTCAACGCCAGGCGAGTCAGGTGAAGAATCTGATTGGACTAGCGCTGAACACAAACCCAAATCTTTAACATAAACAGAATTGAAACATTTGGTCAGAGATTTAAATATCTCAAAGAATGCTTCTGAATGTTTAGCTCCACGTCTGAAAGAAAACAATCTGCTAGCTCCAGGATCGTATGTTACAGTTTACAGACGTAGAGAGAAACGGTACGGTTTTTTAATCACGTTTACTCCTTAGTACATTGCACTCACATTCCAAACTTCATAATTATGTTGGGAGGAGAGTATAAAACAAATGTATGGAGGTTTTTCATTGATTCAAGCAAATGAAGTTTAAAATGTGTGCTTGCTAAACATTGGTAACTTTAGCATCTGTACCAGTCGCACATTCCGTCCACCTTAAGGCTTCCCACGCGGTCAAGTACCTCGGGCGGGCGCAGTTTGACGTAGCTGCTCTAATGAATAACAATGGCACTAGCACTTAATTGCAGGAACAACTGAAACACTCGTGTAAAACTCGAAATAAATATTAAAATGGCGTCACCCTTTCAGCTACACTGCTAAAGAAACACATGCAAGGCGGAACGAGTCCACGTAATGTAGAAACCGTTCAACCCATTATCGGAATGAACACAAATATTGTTTTTTATATCTCCAGCCTCCTAATCTTATCAAATCGGCTTCCATTTTTAAACGAATTCTACAATTGATAATATTTAATGTACACAACCTTTTGATAATTCGGTTCCCTATTTTAATTGAAATTTCAACTCAGCAAAGCATGCATTGACTCTAAAGACTTAAGTCGAGAGATAAAGAAAAAAAATACTATTCAGTCAATCGCTCCGCTTGACCGAACTGCACAGTTGATGTCAAACAATACTAAACAGCTGAAAGTTACGAACCTCGATTCCAGGAGCAGTCATCTCTATTGAAGTGCAGTCATAGAGTTTTCAAACCAATTTCACTAAGTAAACGAGAATTCAAAATA